TCCATCATAAAAGTGCATCTACCCATCATAAAAGTGCATCTGTCCATCATAAAAGTGCATCTGTCCATCATAAAAGTGCATCTATCCATCATAAAAGTGCATCTATCCATCATAGAAGTGCATCTATTCATCATAAAAGTGCATCTGTCCATCATAAAAGTGCATACATCCATCATAAAATATCTATCCATCATAAAAGTGCATCTATCCATCATAAAAGTGCATCTATCTATCATAAAAGTGCATCTGTCCATCATAAAAGTGCATCTGTCCATCATAAAAGGGCATCTGTCCATCATAAAAGGGCATCTGTCCATCATAAAAGTGCATCTATCCATCATAGAAGTGCATCTATTCATCATAAAAGTGCATCTGTCCATCATAAAAGTGCATCCATCCATCATAAAATATCTATCCATCATAAAAGTGCATCTATCCATCATAAAAGTGCATCTGTCCATCATAAAAGTGCATCTATCCATCATAGAAGTGCATCTATCCATCATAAAAGTGCATCTAGGCCTATCCATCATAAAAGTGCATCTGTCCATCATAAAAGTGCATCTACCCATCATAAAAGGGCATCTATCCATCATAAAAGTGCATCTGTCCACATAAAAGTGCATCTATCCATCATAAAAGTACATCTGTCCATCATAAAAGTGCATCTGTCCATCATAAAAGTGCATCTATCCATCATAGAAGTGCATCTACTCATCATAGAAGTGCATCTGTCCATCATAAAAGTACATCTATCCATCATAAAAGTGCATCTATCCATTATAAAAGTGCATCTGTCCATCATAAAAGTGCATCTGTCCATCATTAAAGTGCATCTGTCCATCATAAAAGGGCATCCATCCATCATAAAAGTGCATCTATCCATCATAAAAGTGCATCTGTCCATCATAAAAGTGCATCTATCCATTATAAAAGTGCATCTATCCATCATAAAAGTGCATCTGTCCATCATAAAAGTGCATCTGTCTATCATAAAAGTGCATCTATCCATCATAAAAGTGCATCTAGGCCTATCCATCATAAAAGTGCATCTGTCCATCATAAAAGTGCATCTACCCATCATAAAAGTGCATCTGTCCATCATAAAAGTGCATCTGTCCATCATAAAAGTGCATCTGTCCATCATAAAAGTGCATCCATCCATCATAAAAGTGCATCTATCCATCATTAAAGTGCATCTATCCATCATTAAAGTGCATCTGTCCATCATAAGTGCATCTATCCATTATAAAAGTGCATCTATCCATCATAAAAGTGCATCTGTCCATCATAAAAGTGCATCTGTCTATCATAAAAGTGCATCTATCCATCATAAAAGTGCATCTAGGCCTATCCATCATAAAAGTGCATCTGTCCATCATAAAAGTGCATCTACCCATCATAAAAGTGCATCTGTCCATCATAAAAGTGCATCTGTCCATCATAAAAGTGCATCTATCCATCATAAAAGTGCATCTATCCATCATAGAAGTGCATCTATTCATCATAAAAGTGCATCTGTCCATCATAAAAGTGCATACATCCATCATAAAATATCTATCCATCATAAAAGTGCATCTATCCATCATAAAAGTGCATCTATCTATCATAAAAGTGCATCTGTCCATCATAAAAGTGCATCTGTCCATCATAAAAGGGCATCTGTCCATCATAAAAGGGCATCTGTCCATCATAAAAGTGCATCTATCCATCATAAAAGTGCATCTGTCCATCATAAAAGTGCATCCATCCATCATAAAATATCTATCCATCATAAAAGTGCATCTATCCATCATAAAAGGGCATCTGTCCATCATAAAAGTGCATCTATCCATCATAGAAGTGCATCTATTCATCATAAAAGTGCATCTGTCCATCATAAAAGTGCATCCATCCATCATAAAATATCTATCCATCATAAAAGTGCATCTATCCATCATAAAAGTGCATCTATCCATCATAAAAGTGCATCTGTCCATCATAAAAGGGCATCTGTCCATCATAAAAGGGCATCTGTCCATCATAAAAGGCCATCTATCCATTATAAAAGTGCATCTATCCATCATAAAAGGGCATCTATCCATTATAAAAGGGCATCTATCCATCATAAAAGGGCATCTATCCATTATAAAAGTTAAGGATGCACCGATATGAACATTTTGGCCGATACCGATAACCGATAATTCTTTACATTTGAAAGCCGATAACCGATATATTGGCCGATAAATCTAAATTAAAATTGTTATATACTTTGATAGCCTGTATACATAAACAAAAGGCTCACCATTAAAAGCCTTGTCTCAAACACTTTTAACATAAATCAAACATATACAATACAGTATAGCCTAGTTTGAACCAGTGTAAGATTCCTTAACTTTTAAAACTAATTTTACACTGGGCAACTTCCTTTATTAAAAAATGGTAACACTTTATAATAAGGTTTAATTTTGTTAGCAGCCATTAGTTAGCATGAACTTATAAGACATTTTTAATAAAGTTGTATCTGTTAACATTAGTCAATGCACTGTGAACTAACATAAACACATGTTTTATTATAACAATAACAAAAGCTATTGCCTCTCTGTTAGTTAATGCATTAACAAATGAGACCTTATTGTAGTGTTATCAAAAAATATATTGCCTAACAAAAAATAAAATACCTAAATAATGCAAAAGTCATTGGATAACATTGGGCTGCATATAAAGAAACAAAATGCATGTGCCATGGATCAATAAAATGGAATCGCCTCCGCACGGACAATAAGGAAATTATTTTAATCAAACCATATCGTTGATGAAAATAATACGAGAAGAAAATAATGTTAGTTATTAATTATTATAACGCAATGTTTTTGAAATTTTTTTTATATTTGTAATATTACAGTGATAGTAAACATCTTTAATAGCTTAGTTACTGTTTCAAATGACATTGCTGTGTGAGCGCGCGCGCTGAAGCTGAAGAGAAGGAAACTGAATCGCTTTGCTAGAAGGTTAATCAACTCAACGGTTGCTGAATTTACAAATTTATTACAATAGTGGATACAATTATGATTATATGACAGTCCCAATCATAGCTTTTAATGTTTTGCATTGTTGTTTAAAGTGCGCGCGCTGAAGCTGAAGAGAACGAGCACCGGGAAACTGAAGAACTTTTCTAGCAGGTTGTTTAAACGAAACGCATCGTATGTGAGGTAAGGTTAATCAGACATTTATATTACATCAACTTTATATTACGATTTATCTGCACAAAATGACGTGAATGCACAATCGAACTTGTGCAGGATCATAATGTGTAGGCTAATCCCTGTTCTGGACGCGCTATTCTCACAACAATGCGCTGAAACGGCAACTAAACCCAGAGAATTCACAACTTTTTATTACAATAGTGTTCTCATTATAATAGCATGTATATGACAGTCCTATAATGTAGTTATAAATGTGCATTGCTGTTTGAGCTGCGCAAGCTAAAGATTATCACCGGTAGGCCTACAATGAAGCGCTATGCATCGTTCATTAACTCAACCAAACGCATCCTATATTAGATTAATCAGAAATAAACATATTACAACTTACAATGGCACAGAATGCTGCGAATGCTCAAGAGAACTTGACTGTGCTTGTCATGAAGGCTTAACTCCACAGACGCGCTATTTCCGCCACAACGCGCTCGTCGCGCTGAAACACTGGCGAACACGAATTCACAACATTCTTTTGCAGGCTGCTCTTATTATAATGTTATGAAGTCTATGTGACAGATTTGTGCTGCACATGTTGCACTGAACTGTATCTTCCTTTTCGAAGTGAATCCAATCATTCAGAACCATCATGGCGAACCGCGCGCATCTCTCAACTGAAGTAAATAATCTATTATTTATCGGCTTTGATATATCGGCCCAATTTTCTTTTCGGACCGATAACGATAACATCAAAAAAGACCATTTATCGGCCGATATCGATATGTGGTCGATATATTGTGCATCCCTAATAAAAGTGCATCTTTCCATCATAAAAGGGCATCTATCCATCATAAAAGTACATCTGTCCATCATAAAAGGGCATCTATCCATTATAAAAGTGCATCTTTCCATCATAAAAGTGCATCTATCCATCATAAAAGTACATCTTTCCATCATAAAAGTACATCTATCCATCATAAAAGCCCATTATTAACCCCTCGGAGCCGTTTGGGACACATTTATGATGGATATGCACTTTTATAATGGATAGATGCACTTTTATGATGATAGATGCACTTTTATGGAATTCCCATTCAATTCACCTTTATTTATATAGCGCTTTTTACAATACAATTCACTGTCATTACAAAGCTTGGAAGAGCCAGGACATTATTAAATAGAATTGTATTCGTCTGAAAGAAGAATGTCATATACACCTAGGATGAGTTCGGGGTGAGTAAATAATGGGGGTAATTATTTTTTATTTTTGAGTGAACTATCCCTTTAAAGGCATCTTTAAAAAAATCCAAACAATCTGATCAAGTATGACGGAGAAACGTGTTGATTTTACTTCTGAATCACAGAGGATGTGGGCGGATATTTTGTTTGCCAACAAATGCATTTGATATTGCTAAATCAGAAAATACATCATACGACTGTTTACAAAATATGCATGTGGTGCCAAACGTGTAAAAATTTCCCTAAGTGAAGGACAACGAACAAACTGTAAAAAATCAACATAATTCACACATAATTTATGGTAGTCTGTGGTCTGGTGAAACTGATGAGACTAGTTCAAGAAGTATCTTCCACTGAAATGTCAAAACATTCCTCACTAATGAACCAAACCAACCGGCTCCACGATGAATTATTGGCTTGTGTACGAATCTATACTTGAAACTTGAAGCATGGTGAAATGCAAATATTGTTGGTAAATTCCTCATCGCTTTCGGTTCTGAGGTTTTGGATGGCATATTTCTTTCATTATATTCTATGTGCTAATGTACTAGCATGCATGTGCGCTAGCAGAAAATGAAAACCTACATGCTCTCGCAAAACTTGGTTCTTGTACTGGGTTTGTCCTGGTTCCTCCGCTGCCGAAACCATCGCTGGACCTTCCGCACGTCCCAGTCCAGCTGTTTAGACAGACCTTCTAAATGCCGCGAGTCCGGCGACTAGAACAAACAAAGAAAAAGGGCGTAAATGTCATTTCCATCATGTAATGCTGGCGGTAATGATGTTTAAAAAAAAATGTTTTGGAACAAAATGGCTGCTTTTGAATTGCTAAGTTTAATTTAATTGCTAGAATTGTATTTATTTATCCCAAAATCCATGCAATTTAATTTTGCATTAACTGAAAAAATTGCAACTTGACTGGAAATGACTTGCAGTAAATCTTTTGTTCTCAATATATATTTACCTTAATTTTTAAATTTTCATACATTATATCTCAATGCATTATATTATTATATTATAATTACATTATAAGTTCATGCATTATGTCTTGGTACATAAGTATACTAACTTTTAATAAAACTTTATAAGGTAAAGAAAACTTTTTCTGTAGAAATTACGTTACAGACGTAATGTGTAAATGTAAAAAAAAAAAAAAAAATACAAAAAAGGCTTTGCTTACTTAGTATTTCTGTCTTGTTTCCAGTCCAAATATCTAAAAATTCTTAAATCAAGATGCATTAACTAAACTAGTCAAATGACAATATATTATGTCTTATTTTTTTGGGGGAAAAATCTAGATTAAGAGACGAGTAAAATTATCTGCCAACTGGGTAGAAAAAATAATCGTTTCTGTTAGAATTAAGATTATTTTTCTAACCCCATTGGCAGATAACTCGCTTAATTTTGATTTATTACCTCAGAAAACGAGACATAATATCTTATGTCATTTTACTCATCAAGTAAATGCATCAAAGTAAGAAAAGCTTCTTTTTTTGCAGCAAAATATTTCTTTAATTTCTTAGTTTTAAATTGAAATAAACTATTTATTATGGATTTTTACATTGTACACTTTAAACTCTAGGACAAAAGCTAATAAATACATTTTACAAATACACAAACCCTGTGAGTTATTACATACAAATGTCCTAAATTTAAAGATGTACAGAATAACCAGCAAAAACGACACATGCAGAATTATCTATTAACAGCTTTTATCTAAAGTAAAATGATCAGATAAGACGTAAACCTATAGCAGATCGCCTCAGCTTCAGTGCTGATAAAGACGATTTACAGCAGTTCAACAAAACGGGTCATTGAAGTCATTGGTTATTGTAAAGATAAAAGTTACAGCTTTGCACCCAATAGAGTCTCTACTCTATTCATCTGTCAGGTAATGCTAAACCTGTTCGGCTTATGTCTCGGCTAAAGTTGAAGCCCTGCTTTGATGGTCTCATAAAACACAGGCACAGCAGAGGAGCAACGGGTTCATCCGAGAGCAAAACCAGGAAAAACACACTGAATAAATGTTTATGATTAAAAACACCTTTTATCGTATTGCTATTGTCTTGTTTTAAAAGTTTTAGGCTTCAGTTCGAGCCAGAACGCTTTGGTAAATCACTGTAAAGCACCGAGGCTTATCGCTTTCTTTCCATGACGCTAGAGCATACCTTTGTGATAGATGTAAACACTTTCTCCAGGACGGCATTGGGCTGAGCTCTCCGACTCGACTCCGTGTGGATCTGAAGGATGGAGGCGCATGGACCTGCGATACACCTGCAAGAGGACACAGACAGGATCGCATCCATCAGGACAGAATGCATGTGATTTACATGTCGTTGCTACTAATCCAGATTGAGACTCAATTCATGTGTTTTACATTGAACTGATTTGACTGCTTTTCTTCTAGTCAAAGCCACATCTAGCTTTAAGCAAATTATAATGATTAAACTACATTTGATTTGACCATGTAAATGGTAACACTTTCCTTAAAACCTTTATCTATAATGCATTATTATAAAGGTATTCATAATGTACATCATAAATGCATTATATCTTTTCATAAATAATTGTAAAGCATTATAAATAATATTCACAGATTCCTTGTTACATCTGAAACCTTGTTTCTCAAGGTTTACTGCATTTAAGGTGTATTATAATGTATTATAACTGTGGTTACGATTATTCATGAGACCATACAGTGCATTACAAGGCATAATTAATGCATTAAATACTTTTATAATGAGCATTATACATAAAGGCTTTAAGTAAAGTGGGTAGGGATGCACCGATTTTAAATATTTTTGCCAATAGCGATAACCGATAATTTTATGCCGATACCGATAACCGATAATTCTTCATATTTTGAAAGCCGATAACCGATATATTGGCCGATAAACCTAAATCCAAAGTTGTATATAAATTGAGAGCCTGATTACAACAAAAATCTCACCATTAAAACCCATGTCCCAAACACACAATTATAGCGTTCTCATTATAATTTGAGGTAGCCGATATGACAGGCTTGTGCCGCACATGTTGCTCTGAACTGTATTTTCCTTTTTTGAAGTGATTTCAATCATATTTTAGTCAATTCAAAACCATCATGGTAAACCATGCGCATCTGAAGTGTCTCAGCTAAAGGGAATTATCCATTATTTATCGGCTCTAATATATCGGCCCGATAACGATAACGTTATAAATCATCATATATCGGCCGATACTGATACTATTGCCGCTATTATTGCTCAAACTTAGTTTAGTGATTTAATAACCTTCTAACAAGAAGGATTAAGCTTCAGTGTGTAACTTGTGCTATACTGTTTCTGTTACAAACACGAGTGATTCCTCAAACGGTCAAATAGAGGTGCTAATAACTGACTTACGTTTGCAAGCTTGAAAAACACACAACAAAAACTTAGTTAAAAGCAGTCAGGTTCCTCCCTGAATTCTCAGCTGAGATTTGTCGTCTAGAACATAAACTTTAGAAATGTGTGTAGTCGGGTCTGAAACCCAGTTTCTTTATCAGCAGCGTTTCTGAAGCAGAAGAACAAGATGTTCATTTGACTCATGCAAAATCCAGCTATGTTGCTAAACCTCCACTGAATGCAAAACAAATCAGTTGGACTCACTGATTAATGAACGCCAGAAGCTGCTGACGAAACTTAAGGACGGGAGCATTTATGACTGCGGCTTTTCAGATTCATTTAGATCTATACACAAGTAAATGAATGAAAACTGGCGGTGGATACTGGAAACACATTTGCATGGCTTGATCTCGAACATCTTACATTGTCAGGTGAGCTTTATCTCACAAGACCTGTTTGTCTGAGCAATGGGGGACAGAAGAAGCCTGGAAACCTGTTCGAAACAAACATTTTTGCAATACCTTTCGGCAAAACTAGTGTGACAGAAATTACACACTTTAACAGCAAAAATGCCAATAGAGTTTCTACAATTCAGTTCTTTAAATCGGTTTTAAACTGAATTGAAGATTTAATTATTGAATTGACTGATTTTCTAAACACAGACAAAAATGTTCACTGAAACACAAGCTTAGTAAGTTTTGTATGTATATTGCCGTTTACTGACATTTATTGTAAATTTGGTGAAATTAACAATTAATAATGTGAAATGTTGTAGTTTTACAATGTAGTATGTACAATAAATAATAATAATGAAATTTAGTTCATTTAATAAAGAAAATGTGAAAAAAACATGAATTGATAACTTTTATTTACATATTTACTGTATCTTACTTTTTACATTAAAAATTGTGAATCACTTTGCAAAAGCAGCTATTCGGTCAAAAAATAAATACTGGCAAAAATTTTTATTTAGGATTTAATGCCATATTAGCAGCAATGGCTATATTCATGGCAATCAACAGTATTTCACTTTTAAAACAAATTAGAATTATGATTACAATATCACTTCAATACATTGTTTACAATAATTTAACAATTTTGTCTTAAAAAACAATCAATATACAAAAACAGACATATATACCAATAACAGCAATGTAAAACTTACATAGAATCTTTCAATTTAATATATGAAAGAAATTCTAAAATTATTCCAGGAGGAACCTTTTTAAAAATGTCCATTACATTTTTTTTGTGTCAAATATCATTTAAAAATGGACATTCTATTAAAATATGATTTACACAAGAAATTCTAACACAAATCAGAAACTAGTTTCTCTTTCCCTTTCATTATGAATGAGTGAGTCTTGAGTGACCAATTCGACTTCTCGTTTAAACAACCTGGTCATATATATTTTCATATTCATAACAATAATTAACTCCTTAATTTAGTACTGGATGCACCTCATATAGTTTGCTAATATGCATTCGGTGATCCATTTCAATGGCCATTTATAGTAAATAAAATGTACAGATTCAATACGGGTTTGAAATTCTGACTTTCCTGAAACTTGTCCCTCATGCAAAATATTTAAATAAAACTGTCCATGACAACAAAGTTAATGCGGTAAAAGTCCTTAATATAAAACATCTCTCAAACAATAAACTGAGCAGCTTGATAAATACACCACATACTCAATGTGTTGACAATGGTTGTTTTGAGCAGTTTATTAACCCAGAATGGGCAAACGCTGGTGAACTATGTCTCCAGGCATGTTAAACTGGCCCACAAACTACATACTAAACTGTGGAATCTGACACTCAGCATAAAAAGCAAACTTTCCTAATATGTTTTAATTAAAACAGTGAGGAAAGACATGTTAAGTGTCTCAGAGCACCAGAATTGGCAAGTCTAAGACGCAAACCATGTTGCGTAAACAGTCCCATTCCCTGTCTGACATTCACAATCTTCCCTTAATGACGACAGGGTCAAAGTGACAGATGGGTCTCGGGACTAAATATTAGCTTGCTAACTGGAGCTTTGCTTAAATCTCAGTTAGTTCAACAGACAAACACAAAAGATTTAAACAATACAATCTCGGGTTAATCTCCGACGTCGGCGCTGCCAGTCTCAGCCAAAAAAAAAAATCTCATTCATTAAAGTTAGCATCCGGACTTGACCTGTCGAGTCACATGACCGTCTGTGTTTTGTTTCAGGAAAGTGGGTTGCAACTGGTGGGACACAAACTATCCGATCCAATACTGTGGGACGAGGGCTTTTCCGAGTCGGAGACAATAGAAAGCCTTGTCACCGCACACACACACGTGATCTTTTGTTGGGTATATAAAGCTGGATATTTGCACACAACTATCAGTTTAAACTGTAAAAAATGCTCTGTATTTGTCCTGTTTACCATTACAAATATCAATACAAATGTACTTGAGATGGAAAATGACTAAGTCGGAGAAATTCATCAAAATTGAGTTTATACTTGAACCAAGAAAAAAAAAAATCTATACAAGTATGGTAATATAATCATGTTTTCCTTTTGAATTAAGTATATTTAAATGTTTTCTTCTCATTTTCAGAAATTAAGTCATTTTTCTTCTCAAGTAAATGCATCTTAACTTAAGTATATTTACAGAACATCACTTTTTGGAAGTGTATGGTTCTTTAAATAGACCGTTTAGGGGAAGTAGAGTATTTCCATTCTGGTTAAGGTTTATTCCTAGCAGTTTTGAAGCAAATAAAGAAAACCCCACATTGACCGTTAACAAACAACTTTTAAATGTAAAACAGGATGTGAGGTCAGTAACAGCTCAACGCCTGATGACATCACTGCCGTCACACACCATCTCTGGCACAGATTTAGCTGATGTTGTCATTGTAGGCTTTGTGAATTGTTCAGGTTTTGGCTGTTGCGCATGCAAACTCTCCTTGCCAGGGACAGACGGCGTTTGACATTTTCTCAGTAACTCGATTTGCATGTCTGATGAATGAAACATGACCCGATTATGTCCTGAGTGGGCGGAGACTCGCTCTGTGTGCCAGCCCAACATGACACCACAAAAAGGGACTATGGATAACTCAAGGGCCAATAAAACTACTCGACAGCTCAAGGTTAACTTAAATAAAACACGTAACAAAAGCCTGATAATCACATCCACAAGCTTGCACTGTTATATAGCCAAACTAAGATAAATTAGCTAAAGCTTCAAGAGTAAATATTCCCTCACAACCATTAGATTTAATACAATTCTTTTTACTAAATGTAATGCAGCAGAAAACTAAATTTGGGTACAAATACAATTTTGATTCTTTACAAAATGTGAGAATGCACTGAAATTTGATCACACTGATTTAGTTTAAGTGCAGTTTTTTAATAAATGATGCGATGCATGCATCAACTACAATTAATTTCTAAATAATGTGATGCATTAGTAAATCAGAAATTTGGTCACAACTCTATTCAAGTAGCCTACAATTTACTAAATACTAAATGGACTTAAAGTTTTGGACCACAAAAAAAAAAAAAAGCTTCATTTCAGTGTCTGTAAAAAAATTCATGCTTTTTTAATAAGGGAAATACCTTGGTTTAGATAGACATAAAAAAAAAATGTACATTGACTCAACTCAGTAAAAACGTGACAGTAAGAATTGAAAAATGTCCAATTTAAAAAATATTGGTTACAAGAATAACTCCTATGTAAAAATAATATCATGCAATGAGATTTATTGATTGTTAACCACATGCGATCATTACAGCTTGACACATATGAAGCCATTATTTAACTCCGGAAAAACCCATTGACCCGCAGTACAACAGTTGTCTGAAGGAGAACTACAGCATTAACTATTCAGTGACAGACTGAACTCTAGAGGAAAGGATCCTGGAAACGGGTGATGACACA